GAAGGAATAAATAAACAAATGTTTACGAGGTGTACAATTGGTTGCTGTACACAGTAAACTTTGTATAAAGTGCAGAGCATCTGATAGAACAGCTTCCTATTTAGTGATGTCTAAATTTTTGGTTTTCAATGCTAGATTCACAGTTTTCCATATAACTCCCTTATTTCTTTTGACTTTACCATTTCCTTCAGGGGTATATGGAGTTGTTCTACTTTATGTTTCTTTGAAGTGTAAATAATTAAACTCTTGTGAAGTAAAGCTAGTTCCCCTGTCAGAATGTATATATGTCAGCATTCCATATAAACTAAATAGTTAATTTAAACATTCAATTACTGTCTGACTATTAGATGCATCTGAGTATGGAAAAGGCCATGGAGATTTAGAAGCATATGGAAATTTATAGAAGAACTGGTTATTGGACCTTTAAAATCAATGATCAATTTTTCAAACTGAGCTGTTAATTTGATTAAATGTTTATCATCTTCTTTGTTATAAAATCTGGGTTTCATTTCTGCACAGATTGGACAAGAGGTAATTACTTGTTTAATTTAATTTACACAATAAGAATAAGGTATTATTTAAATAAGCACTTAATTTGTAATTATCTTATATATGCCCTTAAATTGTATTTAAGTTCAAAATATTATTAATATTGTTCTGAAGCTATTTTCTTGTAGCATCTTAATGCAATTTACTATTTTGGAAAAAAGCCACGATTTTACTTTAAAATTAAGTTTTTACTAACCTTTTTCAGTTTTTTGGTTTTCTTCAAATGGGTTTATTTTATTTCCATGTTCTATTTCAGTATTTATGTGATATATCTTTAAGTCTAAATAATTAGATGTGTTATGTATACTTTGTGTATTGGATTCCTCCCGAATTTCACATTTGAAGCCATCCAAAAGAGCATCATCTACTACATTATATTCTAATTCTAGTTTACACGTTTCCTCGCTAAATTCTTGTTTTATTACTTCCATTTGAGTACACCATAGATAAATAATAATAATAACAATACGGAACGGTTGAGGTGAGGTTACCGTTTTTTAGGGCCTAGGGCCAGTGTCACGCCAGTGTTGCCAATGCAAAACTAGAAATTATCCGAATGTTGGGAGCAAAATATCCGAAATTATCCGAATTCATAAAAATCAAAAAAAAGACTGATTAAATGCAATAATTGACATTGACAGAGACACATTGACAGATGATCATTAATATGACAAATGATAGCAAGAAAACAAGTTTAGTTTGATAGAAATATATTTATTTAAATAAAAAACAACAAATAATACATAAATACAGCAAGTTAATAAATTATTAACTCATAAAACCTATATTAAAAATACTTATTGTTTACATATATAATCGGCAAAAGTGTAGAGAATGAGAAAGTGCCACAGGGGAATTACTTGACTACAGTCCGTCCCAAACCCTTGTTTCAGTGCGTCATAGTTGTTCGAATTCTCTCTAACGCATTAAGCTAGAAGTGACAGAAAAAAACGTGAGTCTCTGATTATTATACATAGAACTTCGAAAATTAGGTATCGTTCACGGGTATTCGCATATTAAAGCGAATTCTACTTACGAACGTATAATTGGTTTTAGTTTAGAATACGCTAAATAGATAACCAATCAATTATGCATATAAATATAATTTGACACAGATGATCTTGATAATGACAGTAACAGTACTTTCACAATGTCAACTGATAAAATGATAATTGCCATTCCAGGTTAGTATTTTCAGACATTTTAACTACAGTGAAAATTAAATTTTGTATTTATTGTCATAAAAATATTTTAGATATTCCAAGATATACCGAGAATGAAAAAAGACTAATATTAAAATTATTAAATTAGTTTCAATTAGAAAAAGAGGCTGAGGCATCTTTATTATCAGTTTCTGTCGTTCGCGAATCAGATTGTGAATTCCGGAATGAGATTAAGGAAATATCTTAAACTAATGCCTTTATGGATATTTATATGCATTAAAACGGTTCTTTTTAGAACCACGACATTTTCTTGAAATGTAGGATATAATTGATACCAGCCACATATCTAGTGTAATCATTGCAGATTCTGAATGGGATTATAGATTGTTTGAAATATAATATTCATTTTTGTTATTCATAAAAAAGAAGGTAAACTTACATTCGGTATCTTGTTTATTAACTAAACTCCATTAGCACGATTTCATCTGGATATCGGAACTGGTAGATTAACTCAAAAATTAACTGCTTCACTATTTAAACTATTTATATTGTTTTTTTTAACTAAACTTTATAACCTTCTTTCATTTGCACACCAAATCTGGTAGAATAACTTTAAAATCAACTGCTTCACTATTTAAACTATTTCCACTATTTAATGACAACTCTTCACAAAATTAAACTATTGGCTGCCACACAAACTTATCAGAAAATTACTTATCCAAATATGACTGATTTAAATCGATATTATTTTATCACAGGAATGTTTACTTTGATGCCTTACAATTGTCAGTAAATTTTTTTACCTTGCAGTCAACTCTTAAAAGATTCTAGGAGGAAGCGTTATTTTAAATAAACAAACCTTCCAATTTCCTAGTGTTTGTAATAAATAATAATAAATCCATAAACAAATCTTAGCTAATTAAGCACTTTCCATGGAATGTATAAAATAGAACAGAATAGAATAGAATTATGAAAAACTGCTATGCATTAAAAAAAATAACCTTTTCACGTTTAGCCGATTACGATCCTGCAACTGTCAGATTTAACTAAAATGTCATGCAATAATTCTCGACATTCTTAAAATCCTATATGACGTTAAAATTAGTGACGCACTGAAAAAAGGGTTTGGGACAGACTGTACTTCAACCTTTTTAGACTTGGATTAAAATGAAATTTAATTTTTGTTTTGTCAATTTCAAAGATCCCTGGATTTTTGTACAGTCAACCAAAACTATACTATTTATCAACAGATTGCTCTGAAATAATTCATAGGTTCCATCATCTTCGATTATATGAGAATAGAATTTGCAGTTCTATGTACATTCCTAAATTTAGCTATTTAAGCTTATAAAAATTTAAATTATACTTAAAAATAAAAAGTCGATAGACCCTTGAATTATCCGAAATTATCCAAAAAATTGTTCAATCCGAAAATTATCCGATGGTCCACGAATTTATCCGAAAATCGGATAATTATCCGGACATAGGACACAGCCTAGGGCGTTTACCATGGCCTGGAATCTTATATGAATGACTTGGTTTAAGACTCTGCACTCTGCTATATTATTTATTTATGGCATTGCCAAAGAGCCAAAGACTAGACGCTAGTACCACAGAATATAAACAATCAGAAGGGCCACTCTCAGATGCCGCCTTTGAAGTTTTTCAGCACGCGCGCCATGTTTTAGGAGGACACAGACATATGATTTGTGTGGTTATGTAATTGTTTATATTCAATGACATATAATATATAGACTCGGTGAACGCTTTAAAAAGTGTCCAAAACATGAATACCTTTGTTATTGTTTATTGTTTTGATACGAAGATGCACGAAGTTCATGATTTCTTACGAAGCATCACGAAGTTGATCTTGTGTTTAAAACATCATGGACGTATGAAAACATTTTCTCCATTTTGTGTGACACGCAAATTTTATTTTAAATTGTTGAGAGTTATTTACTTACTATTTTAGTAAAATGCCATACTATTTTATCAAAATAATTATTTCTCTTATAGACTTGACAAAAAGAAATCATAAATATTTAATTTTAATTAAAAAAATAATTATTGTCATTAACATATAAATGAGCACGCCGCTGTTGTGATAAACATACCTTCAACCTTGAGCCGAGATCTTTCGGACACTTGATTCTATAGCGAGAATAGGGGACTGCGTAGTCTATATATTATACGTCATTGTTTATATTTATGTTTAATTATATTATATTTATGTTATTATATTTAACAATGTTAATATAATTGTATAGTATGTCTATGATTGCCGTAAGTCAAATAAACCTGGTTAATTTTTCCATGCACACTACATAAACAACACTAATTTCTTTAAAATCCTCCTAAAACATGGCGGAACGTCTGCGCGGAGGAGATGCGCGTACTTAATTTTCCGTGGAGAGTGGGTATTCTGTTTGTTTATTATTCTGTGCTAGTACTTATTGTACTTATTCTTTTTTATACTATGTTAGTGGTCTGTGATCAAGGCTGCCAGGTCTAGGGATTTATCCCGAATCTAGGGATATTTCAGTATAAAAGGGACAAAGGGATTTTTTTGATATTTAGTGTAAAATCTAGGGATTTTTGACCAGCTCAATCTACATAAGTACTAAACAGTATTAAATAAGCGATCTTTCATTACAAATAATTAAACTACTGGTAAACTACTTAGGGATTCTATTATCAGATGTCGCTAACTGTTCACGTTCTTGGAATCTTTATTTTATGCTACCAAAACTAAATAGATTCCTATATATTTTCAGAAAGGAGAAGCAAATTCTTCAGCAGAAATTAGGGATTTACAAAAATCTTAGGTTTTATAAAATAAATAATTAGGGGATTTACAGTAGAAATCGGGTGAATTACAGAATTCGTGAAAATATATAAATAAAATTTTATGCTTCACCGTCTCATTTCTCTAAGTTGTATTTTGTATTAATTTTATTAAGTGAAATAATACATAATAATATATTAAATGAAATATTCAAAGCCATAAATAAGTACGTTATTCCGTTTTTGTTAAATTTATTCAAATCATCGCTATTGTGCCGTTTAAAAATATGTTTTTGAAATAAAGATAAAAACAACAATTTTTTTATATCCATGTTATTATATTAAGCAACCATCAATACATCCTATCATTTTATCTAGAATTAGGCAGCCATATATACATTTATTCCAGTCTAGGGATTTCTAGGGATATTTTAATGTTCAATTTAGGGAGAACAAAAATTTTGACCTGGCAACCCTGCTGTGATTGACAATACATATCCAATAGTCGTCAGTTGTCATTTGTTTTATTATTACAGAATTTATCAATGACGTATAATATTTATAAAATATTGTATTTTTGTTTTCACTGTAAACATTTTTGAAATACATAAAATCAAGTTTAATCAAATGGAAGTAAAACAAGAAGTTATTGAGACGTGTACACCAGAAACAGAAAAAAATGAAGTGGAAATGTATCCAGAAAATCTTCTGAGTACATTTAAAATTGAAGTTAAGGAGGAACCCACAGAAAGTACAAATGATACATTTGATTATATAGACTTAAAGGAATACCATACAGAGACAGAAAAGGAGGAAAATGATGACACATTTATACCAGTTAAAAAAGAACAAATTAATTATAAAGGTATGTTAATTAAGTGGTCTAATATTTTCAACCAATAATAAATTTTGGATTAAATATTTTTTTTAAACATTTTTTATACTGTGGGTTCACAAGAATTAGCGGACGATTTTCACATTTGGTCCCGATGAATTCAACTGTTACTTGATGGAAATTCATTTTATGTAACAATAAAACACTGAAAACTTTGTTTTCAAAACTTCCACAAAATTTATTTTAGACTCTTATCCCTACAGCTGTTTCGGCTGATTGCCTTTCTCAAGTGATATATTTTTGGCATGCGTTTACACTTTATAGTCTCTAATAAAATGGGTTGAGGAGAGTAGAACTATTTGTCTCAAGATGGTCAAACAGAATTATATCTGTATTTTTTAATTTGTTGATTTCCATAGATGCTAACAAAGATAGCTTAAGGCCTTTATTTTGAATGTGAAGAATTTTAAATCCATCATTAAAAGAATGATTATGATCTAGAAAGTGAAGTGTGTATGTAGAATCTGTTTTTCTATTATTGAAAGTCATGTTATGTTCTGCTATTAGTTTATTAAAATTTCTACCAGTTTGACAGATGTAAGTTTTTGGGCAGTCTCAATATTTAAGTTTGTAAACACCACTGCATGTTTTTTATTTTGGCTCTTGTTGTTTTTAATATATTTGCCTAAGTTGTTATTTGTTCTGAAAGCATGTGATCTTCCTTTATTTTTAATGTGTTTGGCTATTTTTGTTGATCTTTTGCCTGTATATATAATCAAGCAGAAGGTACTGGGTTTTTCTCTGGTGGTGGGAATATTAATTTTAGGGCTTTCTTGTTTAGTTTTTTATTTAACATTTTATTAATTGTTTATTTGTTGTATCCATTGTTTACTTCTATCCATTGTTTACTTCTATTTGCTTAATGATATTTAATTCTGTCTCAAAGTTCTATTTTAACATTGGAATTTCTGTTAATCTGTGTAACATACTAAGATGGGCTGCCAGTTTATGTTGTGTGGGATGGGATGATGAATTGTGTATAGTCTATCTAAAAAAATTATTGATTTTGTTCTGTTTCTATTGTAAATTCAATATGACTATGAAGTGAATTAATATATGATAACAATTGGTTGAGTTGCCTGTTAGTTCCAGTGACATACCAGTATGTCATCTATGTATCTCCACCAATATAAAAACTGTTTGAATATGGGATGTTTTGAAATCTTTGTCTCTAGATGATCCATAAAAATATCTGATAGCAATGGACTTAGAGGATTGCCCATTATAAGTCCTGCACTGTTATTTGTATATATTTGATTATTAAATTCAAAGTAGGTCCTGGTTTATGCAAACTTCAAGAAGATGTAAAATTTCAGATGTAATGATTAGATTTGTACTATTTTGATCTAAAAGGTTTTTTTACTAGAATAAAAGTTTCTGTAGGAGGAATACTAGGAAAAAGATTTTTTACATCAAATGAAATTAATCTGGACTTGTTAGGTAATTGAAAATGTTCTATTTTATTAACTAGTTCTATTGTATTTTTTATGGTAAATTTGGGTGAAAATTTAGTGTGTTCTAAAATAATCTCTAACAGTTTTTTTGAAAGTTTATATGATGGAGCTGCATAAAAAGAAACTACAGGTCTTATTAGGTGATCCGGTTTGTGTAGTTTAATGAAAGAGTATAATTTAGAAGGCTGTGGGTTCATGATATTTAGGTATTTATGTTCTGTTTGATTTACTTTTGATTTTGAATTTTCTAACATATGCTTAATTTGTTTTTGATGCTTTTCTGTAGGATCTTTGTGTAACGTTTCAATATTTTGATTGTTTAAAAATTCTATTGTTTTGATATTATATTCTATTTTATCTATAGCCTTAGTAGTGTTACCTTGTCTGATTTTGTAAACACTATGTTGTTTTCTATTGATTTATTTTTAATTGGAATCACTGTTATATCCTCTTTGTAACAGGAATTTTTGGTTTCACTACACACATCTGTAATAGATTTTGCAGTTATAGTATAGTTTAAACAGGATCCTATTGTGTTATCCCGTGGGAACTTTATTGCTAAAATGTAAAAACCATTTTTTTTTTGGTTTTTAATATCTTTGTAAGGCAAAATCACTTGGTCGTCCAAAAATCGTAGTGGGAGGGGGGTGGTGGGGAGCCTTACAAAAAAAAATGCAATTATTTTTTTTTCATCGTTTTTCGGATGTACAATATCCGAACATTCATTCATCAAATTTGCATACCCATCTGGACATTAGAAATATTTTTATTTTATTTATAAAAATACGTCAAACCATTGTTGTATACGGAGCGCCTTCATACAAAATCACTTGTTCTGAAAACCCATATTTTTAAAATCTTTTACCTCGCTCTACCTCGAAAAATATTGGGTTTAGCAAAAAATTACCTTCTATAAACATTATAGACCAAAAATCAGAGAACACGTGGGTTTTTTTAGAATTTCGATTGGATAATTAGTTTAAGAAAAAATCAAATAAATCGAACGGCATGTCACGACTGGCAGTGCTGAACGCGGAGATGCGAGGAAGGGCGAGATTCCTGTGCCGAAGTCAAAGCAAATCGACTCTAGTGATGGCGATGTTGTTAGGGTCGATTTTACATTGAAACGCTGTTGTGTTGTATATTCTATTGCGAAAGTGCATCATTGTGCATTATTTTTTACTAATAGCGCGAAATCCACTGAGCTGAGATTTTTAATATTAAAAGTTTTAAATTATTAAAAGTTATTAATTAGCTTATTGCTATAATAAAAATATTAAATATCTACTTAATATTAAAGTAAATATTTTTTTTATCTAGAAACGGATTTAACAAAAAGCAGCAGGTCTGACAGTGAACTTGAGTCAAAAATCAGATTAAGGTATGATTTTTTTCCATAAAGTGCTGATAAGTATCCAGAATTTCATGAAGACTTTATTAGAGGAAATTTTGTTGTGAAAAGTTTGAAAAGAAACTTTTACCAACTATTTGTAGATATAGCTTTAAACACATAAATACAAACTCAAAAGATGCAGGAGGAATCGTGTGATTTACTAAAACCAGCACAAAACTACACGAATGGTTTTTAAGCTACAATATGATTGGCATTATTGTAGCTTAACTGCAGATACCTATAAAGTAATCCATAGAGAGTTCGTGAATACCTATAGATCTTTCGTTGTCCTTTGTTCCAACCCTCATCTAAACTTCTGGAGTTGAAAGGTCTTTAAAATGGGCAGATCGGTAACTTTACAGTCGACTATACATTTTGTATATCCCTCCATTTTTGCTGACAGAATGTGTAATATTATTCTGGTATCGGCCTCTTTATGTGATGAGACTAATATTTCAGAATTCAAACCAAAATTTGTTTTGTAATGCAAAACGTCGCAAAATCCTCTGCTGGATACGAAGTGACCGGTACAATTTGTTAAGGAATATTTAACTAGCTGATTACTTACGAAGTGTGTAAGCTGGTTTTTATTAAAAACTCAATTAATAAATGAATTCCATTTTTGAGGTAATACTGTATCCGGACCTTCAATTAACCGTTGTATTGATTCAATTTTGGCGCCTCTCTTTTGTCTCGTGCAGTTTTTATGGAAGATTCCTTGTAGTGATCCAAAACAAAATCGATCCTTTTAACGCTGTAGGGGTTCTTGAACACTATTGATTTCAAAATTCTTGCACAGTCGTCAAATGTTTTGGCATTTGATGGTTTGCCAACGGCTTGAATCAATCCCATACCATCAAAAATGTGACACGTTTTGTGATTTTGTAACAACTGTAAACTGTTCTATTATAGAACCTAAGGCAGATTTATTTTATGGTATCGATAAAACTCCTGCTGGTACAAGTGACATTGGATATGCTGTCAATTCCTATTTGAAAATATCCTCATAATATTTATGTCTCTTTCAATTGCCTTGATTGCTAGTATTTTTTGTAAAAATTCTTGCTCAGCTTGAATAATTTTCTTCTTTTCAGAGACAGTTTTATAGGTATCTGCGCGACGAAGTGTTGGAAGATTATTCTCTTTTCTATGCTGATAAAAATTGGGAGTTCCAACAGTAACAATAAATTTTGCTAGGCTCTCTTTTTCATTTTTTTTTCATCATAAGGATGTTTGAACATTTGGCGATGCAATCTCATTAGCTGAAATTACGAGAAGACAATCTACGCTTTTTAAAAATACATTAAATCGTAAAAACTGATCATGTACTTTTTGTACAGAATATTCATCAATTTTCATCCGTTTTTTTCTACTTTCTACGTTTTGACTTGAGTGGTTGCTTAGGTCTCATGATGCACGAAATTCATCTACCATCATGCCAATCATATTGTAGCTTAAAAACCATTCGTCTAGTTTTGTGCTGGTTTTAGTAAATCACACGATTCCTCCTGCATCTTTTGAGTTTGTATTTATGTGTTTAAAGCTATATCTATACATAGTTGGTAAAAGTTTCTGTTCCAACTTTTCACAACAAAATTTCCTCTAATAAAGTCTTCATGAAATTCTGGATACTTATCAGCAAATTTGTACATGTCCAACAAATATAATGTTCCCCAAAAAGAATAGTTCACATGGCCAAATGCAAAAAAGTAAGGATGCATTTTTCGAAAACTAGAACAAAAATGTATTCTCCAGTTTCCGCGTCCTTCAACAAACTGAAAAGGAAATGGACTTTATGGAAAAAAAACATGCCTTAATCTGATTTTTCACTCAAGTTCACTATCAGACCTGCTGCTTTTCGTTAAATCCGTTTCTAGATAAAAAAAATATTTACTTTAATATTAACTAGATATTTAATATTTTTATTATAGCAATAAGCTAATTAATAACTTTTAATAATTTAAAACTTTTAATATTAAAAATCTCAGCTCAGTGGATTTCGCGCTATTAGTAAAAAATAATGCACAGTGATGCACTTTGGCAATAGAATATACAACACAACAGCGTTTCAATGTAAAATCGACCCTAACAACATCGCCATCACTAGAGTCGATTTGCTTTGA